TGCTGGGTTTTCAGCCTGGGGGTCCCCAGGTCGGTGACGGTGATGGTTATGTTGTACTCGGATCTTTCTTCTCTGTCTAGTGCTCTCTCTGTTACCAAGGTGTAAAAGTTCTTGACTGAAGGTTTTAGAAGAAAGGGAAGGTCATCCTGGATGGAGGAAATGGTCTTCCCGTTGTCCCCAGAGTCAGGATCTGAAACACTGAAAACAGCAACTACAATCTCAGGTGAGTTCTCTGGGATGGGGCTCGTAAGTGCAGACAGGGTCACTTCTGGAGGATTATCATTCACATCCACCACTTGGAGGAGAAGAGTGCATTTTCCTGAAAGACCTCCCCCATCAGTGGCCTTGATGTCTACTTCATAAGATAGAACTGTTTCAAAATCTACTTGTTTTTTCAGTCGAATTTCTCCTGTTACAGGATTTACTTCCAAAGTTTTGCTAATATCTTCTGAAGGCTGGAAGAGTGTGTAGGATATTTTTCCATAGGCTCCGCTGTCTAAATCGCTGGCAGAAACAGTGACAACCAGGGAGCCTACAGGACTGTTCTCAGGAATATGCACCTTGTAGATGGGCTGCCCAAACTCAGGGGCGTTATCGTTGCTGTCCACCACTTCTACACGCATCTGCGCTGTCCCATACCGAGGTGGAGAGCCGCCATCCAGCGCTGTCAAGGTTATTACGATTTCAGGCTCTTCCTCCCTGTCCAGCTCTTCTTTCAACACCAGCTCAGGGTACATTCTGCCATCACTGCGTTTCCGGGTTAGAACCTCAAAATGGTAGTTGGGGCTGATTTTATAGTTTTGAACACTGTTGCTTCCTACATCCAAGTCCAGAGCATTACTCAGAGGGAATGTAATTCCTAAAGGACTGTTTTCCGGTATTTTTAGAATCATTTCTCTTTCAGTGAACACAGGAGAATGGTCATTTATGTCTTCCACCCTCAGTTCAGCCTGAAATATCTCTAAGGGTTTTTCCATTAACAATTGGAAATACAGTAAGCAAGGCTCAATTGGACCGCATAGCTCCTCTCGATCTAGTTTCTCATTTATGAGCAAATCCCCAGTCTGAACCTTTAGCTGCAAATACTCTTTGTTGCCTTGAGAAATGATCCGAGCTCCGCGGGTGGACAGCTCTGTCAATCCTAACCCCAGATCTTTTCCTAGATTTGCCACAAAGGACCCTCTCTCCATTTCTTCCGCTACTGAATAGGGCTCTAACTCAGCACCCACCCAAGACATACTCAGCAAAACAAAGAAAACAAGGACTTGCCTTTGTCTCAGAAAATGCAACCATCCAATCTCCATTGCTCTTCATGAAAATTTGGTTCAGAGAAGCTTCCTGGATGCCTGGGATCTTGGTAGCCTGGTACTGCAGTCCAGATATCAAGACTATGCCACTAAATAGAGTTTTAAAGAGATTTCAGATTCACTTCTGCTGTGGCTAAGAAAACCATTTTTAGCTTCCAGGCAGTGTGAATTGTTTGGCTGGATACTGGAGCTGCACAGGCAATTCTGTTTTCCATCATTTAACCTGCAGCGCCACCATGTGTTCTCACTGAATCTTTTATTTTCTACGGAATTCTAAATGTACGGAATAAGCTGTGTAAAATGTGTTCTGTAACAAAACAATGACTTCTATTTTCAGGTGGTTTTTGTGTGTGTATTCAGGTAGAGCTCTGTTTTATTGCACAGGAGGAATACAAGAGCAAATTATCACTTAGGTTACCATTTAAAACTGTTGAGGTTTAATGATTGAATAAAATAATTAACATTTAAGTTGAAAAGAATATACATTTAGGAGCAAATGTTTTTAAAGTAACATGGGAAGAGTTTCACAAGTACATTGTTTTCATGGCACGTATTATAGAATTGCAAATGAGTAGAGACTGCAAAATTGCTATTAGTGTCAGTTCTAAAGAGAGTATTTAACCAATGCCTTATTAAAATCACACACTTCCTCTTTACAACACCTAAGCCTGAGAGCTGTGAGTTTCTGCCATTTCCAACTCATTGGAAAATTACTTCCCAAATAGGTAATGGATAGATTGCAAGGTTGGGTCTGCCATTCTTTTGGATTCTTCCTCTTCTTCTTCTTCTTTTGGATTGGATACATTTTTTAAAAAATGACAAGAATAATTTGTTATTTTCCTTTTTAAAAAGCTTTAATGAGATATAATTCACATACCATATATTTCATTCATTTAAAGTGTACAATTCAGTGGCTTTTAGTGTATTCAGGGTAGTATATCCATCATCATAGTCAATTTAATTTTTTAAAAAAGATTTTATTTATTTGAGAGAGAGCACACACAAGCGGGGGTGGGTGGGGTTGGGAGGGGCAGAGGGAGAAGCAGGGTCCCTGCTGGGCTCCATCCCATGACTCTGGGGTCATGACCTAAGCCGAAGGCTTATGCTTAACCAGCTGAGCCACCCCCTCAACACACCAGAGTCAATTTTAGAACACTTTCATCACCCCCACAAAATCCATATGCTTTAACTATCCCCCTATTCCACTATCCCTCCTATGCTAAGCCCTAATCAACAATTAATTGTCCTGCAGAGACAGAGGCCTGAGCCCTAATCAATAACTTTGTAGACCTCCTTATTCTGGACTTAAATATGAATGGAATAATATGTGGAGTTTTGTTACCAGGTTCTTTCATTTCGCATGTTTTCAAGGTTCATCCAAGTTATAGCAAGTATCAGAACTTCATTCCTTTCTATGGATGAATAATATCCCATTGTATGATATATCACATTTTGATTATCCATTCATCTGTTGATCTATATTTGGGTTATTTCCACCTTTGGGTTCTTCAGAGTAAAACAGCTGCAATCATATACAAATGTTTGCATGGACATAAATTTTCATTTCTCAGGAGTAGAACTGCTAATTCATATGGTAGCTCTGTATTTTCCAAAGTGTCTGTACCATTTTCATTCCCACCAACAATCTATCAGCATTAAAGTTTTTCCGCATCCTCACAACACTTGTCATCTGGCCTGTTAAAAAAATATTTTAGTTATTTGTTTGTTTGTTTGTTTAGAGACAGCACACATACGCACACGTGTGCATGAGCCAGGGAAAGGGCAGAAGGAGAGGGAGAGAGAGAATCACAAGCAATTCTGCTGAGTGTGGAGCCTGAGCAGGGCTCCATCTCACCACCCTCAGATCATGACCTGAGCTGAAATTAAGAGTCTGATGCTCTACTAACCAAACCACCCAGGCACCCCATCTGACTGATCCACCAAGGCACCCCATGTCTTTTTGATTCTAGTGGGTATGAAGTAGTATCTCATTATGATTTTTATTTGCATTTCTCTGATGACTACTGGTATTGAACTTATTGTCCATTTGCATCTCTTCCTTAGAGAGACATCTATTCAGATCTTTGTCCACTTTAAAACTGGGTTATTTGCATTTTCATAATTGAGTTGTAAGAATTCTTTGTATATTCTAGATACAAGTCCTTTAAGATTGCACTCATTTGCTCAGGTTTTACATTTTTATAATTTGGATCTAACTGCAGTAAGGTTCATATCTTTCAATGAAGTATTTTTCTTAATGCTTTTTCTTAATGTTAAATACTTTGGGGTTAAAGCATCTAATCAATGAACCCTAAACTCCTGTTATAAAGCCTTTATTTGTCTTCCTTTGGCCACCACTGATACTGCTAGACTAGATAATTTTCTCCCAAGCAGACAATCTTTGGTAGGGAAGAATAATGGCCATCCACCCAGACATCCTAATTCCCCAGATCTGTAAATATGTATCTTACATGGCAAAAGAGCATTAATAGATGTAATTAAGTAGAGGATCTTATGAAGGGAAGATTATCCTGGATCATCTAGGCGAGACAAACTTTTGCTGGCTATGGTCAGAGGGAATTATGAATATGGAAGAATTGGTTTAAGAGAAACAATGTTGGGTACGTGGATGGCTCAGTTGACCTTCAGATCAGGTCATGATCCCGGGGTCCTGGGATTGAGCCCCACTTCAGGCTCCATGTCTCCCTTTCTCTCTGCCACTTCCCCTGCTTGTGGTCTTTTGGGCTCTCTCTTGTCAAAATATAGACATAAAAATACATAGAATCTCTTTTTAAAAAGTGAGAGAGATATAATGTTGTTGACTTTGAGGATGGATGAAAGGGGCTATGAGCAAAGTAATGCAGGCAGCATATACAAGCTGGAAAAGACAAAAAAAATGGATTTTTGTCTTGAGCCACCAGAAAGATATGCACTCTTGCCAACACTTTGATTTAGACCAGTAACACCCATATCAGACACCTAAAAAACTGTAAGGTAATATATATTTTGTTGTTTTAAGCAACTATGTTTGTAGTAATTTTTATAGCAGCAATGGGAAACTAACACATACACAAGAATGGATATTCATGCATCCAACAGCTGTCTCTACAACAATTTATCACTCTACAGGAATAGTACTATCACAGCATTTGCTGGAAAATGTCTGATTCAGCTTTGGTGAATCATCCTTTCAGAATAAAGTCATTAATGACCCCCTAAATCTCTTTCCAACATAATTTTTGAGGAGTTGCCAAAGACATGCGGTTAATTTTTAACAGAAAGTAGCTAAAGCCTATCCATTTCATTCCTACTAAATTCCCAGATTCTCTAAATTATTCAGTGAAAAATTCCTCCACACCATTGCCTATACTTTTCTGAAAGTAGTCTTTTCACTTAAAATTAATACTAGAAATATCAATTGCTTCCAAACAATAGTGTGCTAAAATGAATACAGTATATTTAATTTGAATAAGGTACTTAGAGAAAAAAATGTATATAGTAAAGTGAATTTCCACTTCCTAAGGAAAATGAAAAATTAGGATTGACAGAAAACAGACTGAAGACATAGTACAAGAAATTCAAGAAATATAACCATAGATTAATTCTGTTCCTCATTCAGGGTTCATATCTGCAATAATGAATGTGATATGCTGAAACAATAAAGGAAAATGATCAGACTGTTTTGCTCCTAATGAAGATTAATTGTGTTGTCTGACTCAGCTTATTTAAGTCAGTGCTTCTATAAGAAGTTTGGATCTACTGGTCCAGAGTAATGTTTTGCTCTAGAGTAAAGAAACAAGTACAAATTATGCACTCAAAGTTACATTTCTGCATAGGAGTTCAGTTCATGGAATAGATGAATTTCATTTTCCTTAGTTAAAAATACAATGCTACCTGCTTGCCATTATAACACATGGATTAAGAACTGAAGTATTACATTCAAATAGAATATATTTCAAATTTTTCCTTTCATTACTTTAGAATTGTTAGCAAGTTACTAACCTTTCTAAACTTCAGTTTTCTCATGTGTAAAAGAGGGTACTATGCCAACTCCCCTGGCATAGGATTAAATAATGAAAGTAAAGCACTGTACTCTACTACTTTTTCTGTGCTCTACTTTTAACTAATTTAGAAACCAAGAACAAGAGCTTGAAATGATCAGTTCTATCAAACTATACACTTAATATCTTTACATTTTACTATATTGAATAACATTTTAATAAAAAACCTTACTGTTAAAGCTTTAGGATTGGAATCCACTGAAGGTAGCTCAAAATCTAAAATGATGGTGGGTTAATGAGACAGAAGTTCCTTTATTTCTCAAGTAAAAAAAAAGCTCAGAAGTATGTACTCAGGGATGATATGATGACTCCATAATACCAGAGATCCTCATCTCTTTTAAGTTTATTCTATATTGACTTGTCTTTGTACATTATTCCCATCCTTAGTATTACTTTATGGTCCAACAAGGCTAATTGTGTTCCAGCTATGACTTACACATTCCTGGCTATAAGGAGAAGTTAGAGAAGGACTTCTCTATCTAAACAGCCTTCTTGGAAGTCTCCTACAACATGTGTATATACATTCCATTGGCAATAAACTAGTCAAATACTCCATTCCACTGCCAGGGTAAGAAAATGTATTCTTTTGAATAAACATACTAATGCCCTCCATGAAATTTGGGACCTGTTATTAAGGAAGAAAGATCAATGGATTTGGGTGGCCACTGCATTTTCTGTCACACATGATCAATGTTTCTCAGAAAAAGTCAATTTTACTACTATGCTATTTCATGTCACTGGATAAATATAATGTAGCTACTTCCCCTGTTAACAGCAATGACACTAAATGGAAGGAAATAAAATAATTACATTAAATTAACACTAGTATATTAATGAAAGGAAGCACAGTTAGTATATTTTGAAAGAAAACAATTATCAGAGTGAAGAGCTATGAGAGCAGAATAAAGCAAGAACCAGATTCTCACTGTACCAGGTATTTCCTTGCCCATTAGGCATACTTCGTGTTAGTGTCTTACTGCTCTTATTTACCTAAAGATTTAAAATAAAAATTTAAGGAAATTCAATTGATCACATAGAATGAATTTTCCACTGCTTTCCTAATCTATTTCAAAGCTATTCCATAAGAATTTGTACAACTACTGACTTCGTTAGTGTTTTGAGAGCAAAATTAGGACCATGCATATTCTTATACTAATGAAGAAAGGATACTTTTTTTTTTAAACAAAGGAGTAATATAAGAAAATTTG